GGGTATTGGGGGCGGGTATGCGGGTGTTGGTGGGGTTATTGGGGGTTCTGGACCCTTTGTGGGGTGCCGATGAACCCCGATCGTAGGTGCCGACCCGTCAAGGGGCACCGACCGTCGGGGTATGCAACACTGCTGTGCATGGAAAAAAGAAATGTCAGTGCAAGAAGAGTATGAAAAGGCCGAAGAAGGGAAGTAGAGACATTCAGATTTGGCCAATGCCTATGTTTAATCTGATCACCACCTCTATGCCCTCTGATCTCTCTCCCACTATTTTCATTTCTGATATGGCGTGAATCTATTGGCTCGCTACCTTTTCCTCTACCTGCGTCAATTATTCCTCAAGGAGTGCAAGAGAGGAAAAAAGAAGGAATCACTGTGACGAGCACTGGGTTCGAGGAGGAGGAAGGGTGAGCGAGAGTAAACACTCACACACACGACCAGACTCCGATGTGATTGTGAGTCTTTTGACTGCACAGGGAAACAGGAATAAAGAACTGCGAGTGGAACAGAAGCAGGAATAAAGGAACTCCTCGTGGAACATAAACAGTAACAAAGGGGCTCCAATTGGAACATAACCAGGAATAATGGACTTGCGAGTGGAATGGAAACAGGAGTTAGACTCGGCCCTGAGGGGATAGGCTCAGTCCATGCTAGTAGGTTCACCCCTCCCCTAGTGAGCTCCGGGTAGGTAGGTAGGTAGGTAGCATGAGGTATATTGAGAGAAGAATATAGCTAATTTATTAAAAAAAAAAAAAAAAAAAAAAAAAGGATAGAAGAATTGTATGTGAAGTTGTGAGCTGAAACAGGAAGAATGGAAATGCCAGTGGGACAGAAATTATGAGAAATAGGAATAAAGGAACAGCTAGTGGAACAGAAATAGAACCAGGAATGATGGGCCCTGCAGACCAGGAGGGGCCTCCACCAACAATTCTGTCCTGTTAACACTTTTACCAAAAGAAAAGACGGGACCAATCTCAAAACGCGGGATGCAATTGTTGGCTATCACGTACCAGTCCCACGTCATTTCCCAGTATTTCCACCGCTTTCTCCCTGTCGCGTACCTAAAACCACAGCTCAGATGACCAAACAGAAGGAGAAGACGACACATTTAGGTACCGTAAAACACAAATTTTTGAAGTTCCTTTTTGTTTTCAAACATCACATGCCAGCCCTAGATACTGATCCGTACTTCCAATGCCACAGGAACCAAGTCTCTTAACCACTACAGCCAGGACCCAACGTTCAAAAGTAGAATCATACCGGTTTATGTGTGATACCCCTGTTTGAAATATGTTCTTGATGTCCTTTGGGACATCCATTAACAATTTTAACGGATGTCCCGAAGGACATCCTACGCAAGGATGACACGCGTAAATTGAAAACCATTGTTGATAAAAGGAGAATCTGACCCACCCTGAGAGTCTGTTGAACATTTATTTGCCACCAATCCTGCAACATATGACTGACATCAAAACATTGACGCGGATGACAGTGACAGATTGCACGTCCGATTTCGGACTAATTGGAAGGGCCAGCGTCCGTATTAAAGCAAAGCTGGGTAATGCTCTCAGTAACTCCGATGTCATAATGTTTTATAGAAGGGACGCTGGACCCGATTTCCATGAGGTGTTGCTCCCCACCAATGGAATGTAGCCATCCACTAGAAGGCCTCCAGCCTGTCGGTTCTTGTACCACCACAGGGGGAGCCGCAATCTTCCACGGATGCTTCACTAACCAAAAAAAGGGAAGGGCCCCTCAATGTTGCAGGGTAGCAGTTGTTCCACCTGTTAAGCGACTACTGCCTTTCCCAGGCAACGTCCAGAATCGAAAATGCAACAACATTCCAAAGACACCAGACGGACAGTGCTACCGGACGAAATGGCTGGTGGCACCATTACCCCCCCCCAAAAAAAGGCAAAAGTTGCTGTAGCGTTTCGGCAAAGGTTTGGCACGCAGGGCGAATCCGCCTCAGCAAAAAGAGGATTGAAGGTAGTGGTGGTTCAAACTTCACAGTTTAAAGTCATGCGAAGTTGAGAAAACCCCTTATTCCATGAAACTTGATCAAAGCAGTGCTGGTCCCCCAGATGGACCGGGGGGGCCTCCCCCGACCGGGAGCCTGCCGGTTGGACCGGGCGGTCCACCGGGCCGGCAGGCTCCCGTTCCAACCCAGCGCATCGCGCTTTTGGGGGGGGGGGGGTTACCAGGCGTCATGGCCATCCACACGATTGCCAGACCCTGGGGGTCCACTGGAAAACAAAAGGGGGCCTCTGGGTCAATAATGCCAACAACCCCCTTCTCCTTCCTAGTGACGTACTTCCAAGCCACTTTGGATATAAACTGCTTCTTAGAGGGATTGGTCGTCCACAGATACGCCGCCGCCCTCCTCCTTAGCTCCGTTGCTGTTTGCCCTGGCTGACTCGATGTTGTGCCAGCATACCATAACGTGGAAAAGATTGAGGCATTGATTATCAATGCCCTCAGTATGTACTATTTAGGCCATTTTTCACCTACCGGCCTGGCTGTGCGTCTAGCCCTTGCAGGCCCGACCGAGGCCTTTCTTTTCAAAGGGGTTAGCCCGGAACATTGCTGTACCCATGTAGTTTACTCAAGATACGAGTTCGTGGTCTGGTTATCAGCAGCATGTGTGTACCATTCATGCACACGGGCGGGGGTAGGATTCAGATCAGGCGTTGTATTTGGGGGCATAAGGTAGTCTAGGGCTGGTGTGAGCGCATCGGCCTTGTCTGCCATGCAAGAGGACGTACTTCCGAATTCCAACGAATCTACATCACCATATTACTGTTATACCGGGTTCCACGCGGGGACGCAGCCATTCGGGTAGCATGTCTTGTGTTCCAGACAGTAAGCTTGGCAAAGGTCTTCTCAAGTGGGGGACGGGCAGCCTTCTGGATTTCGAAGGCTAGGGCCAGAAGTTGCGTTGCCCCTGACATTGCATATGTTAGACCTTGGCCAGGGGGCCAGGTGATTAGACACTGCCTGTGATACCTAGAACTGCATTCCTCATACCTAGAGGCTAGAAGTGCATTCCTCAAATAGGGTTGCAGTAGCATGTTTAAACCACCAGTACCATTCTCAGCTATTGATGCCGAGTCTAAAAATGCCCTGCAAGCCAATTTTTGCCGAGCCTGCAAGTGAAAGGTACCAGCACAAGGGAAAAAGAGGGTGCTACCGGTACCCTCCTTTCTGAAACCCGTCTGCTGGATGTCTGACCAGCAGAGGGAATGCAAAGAAGGTAGTCGTTTTCACGCATGAAAAAGAAGTGAAAAATAAAATAAAATGAAAGACACTGAAGGCATTCGAATGCTTCCCACATCTGACGGGGAGTCTTTTATTTGAACCCCGTAGCAGTCAGCACGTATTCAAGCCTCCAACGAGGGAACATGGGGGGGATGCACTCTACTTGCAGGTGGGCGATACCGGACAGGGGTCAGCCGGTAGCATCAGGACCGAGCTTCTTCGATGGGTCAGTCGCTGTGTTTCCTCTCCAGTCCCCTCCCCCTACAAACATTGGCAATCACTGCTCGATGCCACTCGGGGGGACCAAGGGGGTCTCTCTAGGTTGCGGGCGCCAAGCTTGTACAGGAAGGTACATGAGTCGAATGGGGTTGCATCCCTTACCAGACTTACCAGCTGATCGACAGGGAGCCCCTGATAAACAACCGAGATTCTGCTTTGAAATCAAACTCGTCTTCTTGTCACTTTGTCATGCCTGCAAACAGCGGTACAGCAACTGGCGACATGCGCCCACACAGTACTCAAGATATCGTAACCAGATATGAGTTCTCTTCAACTGGCTATGGCGACTGGGCGCCCACACAACTCACTGTTCGCACTCTGGATCACCCTGGATGTCCCACACGCAACACTCAGTATCATACACAACACACACACATACTATGCTACAGCTATGGCAGCGCTAGC